AGAGTATTTTCTCATGTCCAAATGTATTGGATAATTAATTAGGTTAACATCTCTTGCAGGATTAGCAAATAATCACTAAGATACATCATTCTAAAACATAATGTAATTGTTAAGGTATGTAATTCTAAAGAATGGTTTCTAAGGTATGCTGTTCTTTGGGCAAAACATTATTCCAGGGAAACAGGTTGGCAATCATTGTGCGGGGCCAGCATTCCACCCCAGGAACCCAAAGCTGAAGCCAAGCATTCAACCATAAGAGAGGCCTTGCCATCTCTTAGAGCAAACATTCCACCACAAGAGAGGCCTTGCCATCTCTTAACTGTAATTAGAACATGTGCCTTGCAATCATGTTCTCTTGGGGGTCTTTTTCTTGGTCTCCAACAGTTGTTTCTTTTTTTAAAAAAATTTGGTGAAAATACACACTGCAAAGGATATGCCATTTCAACAAATTCTACTGTACAATTCAGTAACATTGCTTACGTTCCTTAAGATGCATACCTGTTCTTGCTGTTGTTTTCCAAATGATTCTACCACCATTAACCGAACTCATTGCCTTTAAGTTTCTCATCTAAACTTTTGGAGTTGCTGCTGTAATTTGATCTCACACCGATAAGTCTTTGAAAGAACAATGCTCAAGGTAGATATATTTTGCTAGTTAAACTACTGTTTGGTTCCAAGTAAACTTCTGGGGAAAGTTTTGGTTTGAGGTTGAAGGTTTAAAGACTATCCCAGGGCAATATTTTTGGGTGTTCATCCAGCCTCAGTATCTCCAGAAGTTTGAATTCCATTGAGAATTTAAATTTCTGTTCCATTTTTTCCCTCCTTTTAACCAGGATTCTTCTCTAGAATCTCAGATTAAATTGTTCAGCAAAGTAGCCAAGCCCCCTCTACTTCTTCTGGTCTCCTGGCATAGAAGGCAGATGTTCACCATGGCAACATTGCCTTCTCTGCATGGGAAAGTCATGCATGTGTGAAAGTCATTGTTTCTTTAGTGAGAATTCAACTCATTCATATTATTGTGACATTTTGTTTTTGGTTTTGTTTCTGCCATCTCAGTTTATGTTTTCTATTTATCATGTTTTCATGTTGGTTCTTTTTCTTCCTCTCCTCACTTGCTGGAGTGGTTGAATGTATTTGCCCTTCTGTCTTCTATTAATATTCAACTAGTAATAACACATATAAATATTTAAGAAATACATTAACATATATTACCCTATCAATATAAAAGTCAATAGCTTTTTCTTCAGAATAAGGCTTCCCTTCCTGGAGCTCTGCTGTGTTCCCAGACATGCACCTTCAACTCCAGGAGGCCTCATCCCTTGGGATAAGGCTAAGTGGCATCCCCTGGAGTTCCAAGCAGTGGCTGGCCCTGACTTCCCTATCAAACTCGTTGACATCTCTGGAATTTCAGTTCCAAGTTGGCACTATCTTTCTTTCTTATCAATACTTCCTTCACGGTTTTAATCCATTTCGTGGTTGCGTTATCAGCAGGCCTTTAGACTTAATGATGAGTTTTCCTTGCAGCACTTCCTCTTATTCTTTTCATCCTTCCTTTGATTTGTTTTTCATTTTTCTGGTGGATCGCAAGTAATTTTTAGGAAGGGTTCTTGGACAGTGTTCACAGCATCCTTTGTCTCCTCAGAGCCCATACCCCTGACTCCTCCCCACTTCACCCTGGGGCTGGTCTGTGTGTAGGAGATGCCTTACTGTGCCCTTCAGGTCCAGGGACCTCTTTGCGGTCTGTCCGCACACTCCCCACAAGTTTGTAAACAGTTCTTCAGGAAACTCCTCAAATGATCCCAACCTGAGTGTCCTGTTTCCTGCTGTGACCTGTTTGAAGCTGACCCTGATGAAAACCAGCCTTACTTTTCATTGTGTCTGTCTTTTTACATCTGCTTGCTTGCTTGATGTGGCTCTTTTACATTTCAAAAGTGATTGATTTAAGACCCCTCCACACTAATAATGGTCTCATTAACATAACAAAAAAACCTCTATTCCCTAAGGAATTACAACCACAGGTATAGTAGGATTCACAACAAGTATTTTTGAGGGCCTCAACTCAACCCATAACAGATGGGGTCCCTGGTGGTCAAGGCTGGTTGATAGGTGTTTCCGGGCCTTGCTCTCTGGGTCCTGTCATCCATACCTCCACAAGGCCGGGGTCCTGGGTGGGACTGCAAGGTTGTGAGCACAATGACAAAACACCACCCAGATGTTGTGTCCTTTACAGCCAGCAGCTGCTTGGTAGAGAGGAGCTCCTCCTGTAACACTTTAAACAGAGGAAATAAAGTAGCTGGTTTTCATAAAGTCCTCTTAACCGTGTGACCATGAATGTTTGGGTCCTAATCTTCTTATAATTCTCCCCTAGGGTCTGGGACGTAAGAAGATTTCCCCTGAAAAAAGGCAACATACTTCAAGAAATTTCAACCTCTGGGCATGTGACTATGTTCCATCTCGTCTTGACGGCTTCTCAAACAACCAAATATCATATGTCTATAAGGAAGCCGTGGTGGTCCCATTTTTCAGGCGTTTTCCAAGACATCACGGAGAAATATGGAACACTTTTACATTTATTCCTGAGCGAAACTATACAGACTTTTTGAAAAAGAAACCGAAAGTAAGATTTGCTGTTGACGAAGAGGCGACTTCTCCACTGGAACCCTAATCTTCCCAGAAGATTGTTAATGAGTTTTGTGATGCCGGTATTTCATCAGATATTCAAAAGTCTGTGCCTTCTGATGGGCATGCCCATTTACCCTAAGTTTTGTTTCAGAATTAGAGATTATATATACTTTAATGCTGAGATGAAACTGTCTTGCAGCGACAACGTAGAGGCTGACGCCATTTTATTGGGAAACTGGACAGGCAGTGGATTATGTTACCATTTCCCCCCATCTTTAAAATATTTTTGTGATTTTTAGTGAGGTTGAAAAGCATTCAAATCCTTATAAAATAAAGATATGAGGAGATACGTACATGTGTAAATAAACTTGCTGCATTTACTTTCAGGGGAATTTAAAAATTACATAATTAATATAGGGGTACAATTTCATTTTAACATTTCAAACACTATGGAGGAAGTTCAAGACCCCCGCATATCAAGTCTTACCATTTCTTTGCCCTTGAGTATTTATCATCATATACATGTGCATAAATAAATGAAATTTTAAGCATACACTGACACATAGGACATAAATTCTACAACTTTCTTTTTATGTTTCAGTATGTATTTTAAGAGTTTTTGCAATGTCAGTATGAATAAATTAATTTTTTTAAGCTCTTTCCTCACATTCCATTATATAGATGCACTGTGTTTGCTTTGAAACTATCTTCTTATTAATGGACATTTGAGTTGATTACAGTATTTTGCTGTCAGACAAGATGCCACACACACACACACACACACACACACACACGGTGTTCAGCTTCTTCGGATGCATATTTACATGTGCCTTTAAAGTGGACTCTGGAAAGTTACCTTGTTCGTGCTCCATTGAACAGTGTGCACGTGTCAAGTTTTAATAAGTAAATAAATTACATTTATTATTTAAATAAATAAACAAATTGTCTTTGAAAAATACTGGGCCAAATTTATACTCCTACCAACCGTGCCTATGAGTTTCCACATCTCCACCTTCACAGTATCTTTTAGGACATTTAATGCCAAAATAAAGAGAGCTGTGGTGGTGCCAATGGTTTGCATTCCACGGAACTAAAAGTTGGCCATTCGAACCACCAAGCGGCTCCATGGAAGAAAGGCAAGGCGAACTGTATCCATAAAAAGGTTAGTGAAGAAAACCCCGTAAGGCAGTTCTACCGTGGGACACATGGCGTTGCCACGAGTCTGGATCAGCTCAAGGACTGAAGATGGGAAAAAAACAAGAAAAAAACAACCAGTATTTCCTCCTTTGCATCCCTCTATTTGTGAAGCTGAGCATTGATTTTCATTTGGTGGCTCTTTGATATAATCATTCTATGCCTAAAGAGTCTTGTCTGTTCTTGAATTTTTTTTTCTATAGATAAATTAGAATCAACTTGCCAAGTTAGAACAAATACCATCGGTGATTTGGTAGGAATTGTCTTGAATTTAGATATTAACTTACGGGAGAATTGCTACCTTTACATTATGGTGTATTTTCCCGTTTACTCAAATCTGATTTTATTTTCTTCAGTAACATTTTATAATGTTGCTCATGTAGGTCTGAATGTGAAGTTTCTTTTCTATGTTTATTTTGGTGTATTTTGAGATTCCGTGGCCATTTTGACTTTTTTTAGTTACACCTTTAGATCAGTTTTGCTGATGCACAAGAATGTCATTGGTTTTGTGTGTGAACCTTGTATTTGCTCTCCTGGATGAACTTTCTTAGCACTAACGGCTTTCAGGTGATTCTCTGGGATTTTCTATGTAGACAATCAATCTTTTTCAAAAGTAACCATTTTATATTATTTCTAACATTTATACCTTTTGTCTGCTGATCCTGTGTTGAACAGGATCTCAGGTGCAATATGAATGTTACCACACACAGTAGGTATCTTATTTCTGAACTTTACGGTCTTCTTCCAATGTGTCATCAGGGAATGTGACTTTGGTTGTAGGTTTCAGATAGTTAATTTTTACCTAGTTAAGGGAGTTCCCTCTTATCCTTAGTTTCCTAATTGTGTTTTCCCTCATGTTGTCAGAAGGGACCATTCCCTGGAGAAGGTATCATGCTTGGTCAAGTGGAGGGTCAACGGAAAAGGGAGGACCCTCAACCAGATGGATTGACACAGTGGCCACAGCAAGGACTGTGAGGCTGGCCCAGGACCAGGCAGTGCTTTGTTCTGTTGTACATGGGGTCGCTATGAGTCAGAGCTGACTCACAGCACCTAACAACAACAACAACAAACATCTTTTCCGAGGTATATGTACATGGGAAATATTTCTAAGAAAATTAAAATAAAAGTAAACAGTGAGAAACTAATTTTCCGCACATCTCTGATTCCCGGTCCCCATTTTTCCTTGCAGAACCAGTTCTATTAATACTTTTTACGTGTCTCTGGGGAGCTCTGGTGGTGCAGTGCCTAAGGCACTTGACTGCTAACCAGAAGGCTGGTGGTTCAAACCCACCAGCCACTCCTTGGAAGGAAGGTTGGGCAATCTACTTCTGTAGAGATACCACTTCAGAAACCCAAGGAGAGGGGTCGCTATGGGTCAAATCATGCTATGGGTCAAACTCATGGCAGTGAGTTTGGTTTGGTTTGGTCTCAAGATAGTCCATACACACACACACACACACACTTAATAAACATTAGTGGTAGACTGTTCTACTGTTGTTTTCTGCCCTTCCACCCCATCCCACTCATCCACACCTATGGATTTTTCTTGGAAGCCATTCGATATCAGTGGATATAAATCACCTTCATTTTTAAAACACGGCATTTCATTATATGAATATGTCGTAGTTCCTGTAATCAATCTTTTGATGGCCATTTAGACAGTCTTAAGTCTTTTTCCTCCTGACAAGCAATCTGGGACAAACATCTTTAGAGGTAAATGTTTGCATTCTTCTATGAGCATTTGTGTGTGATCAACTCATGCACATACATACATATTGATCCCACTTCCAGTTGCACTCATTGGTGGCCCAGGCGCACAACAATTTGCCTACACCCTCGTGCTTCCAGACTTTAGGATATTTGCCAATTTGTTAGCTATACAGTGACATTGCATTACCGTTTTCTTCTCTTTCCTTACTGAGAAGAGGAGCGCTATTGAAAAGACATTTCAACTTCTTTCTTTTGCTGTGAATCGTCTCTCCATGTCTTTTACTATTTCTCTATTGGTTAATTTGTTGTAATTTTTAAGGGTTCATTTTTTTTATATATGTAAGGATATTAAGCCTTTTGGGTCAAATGTGTTCCAAGTGTTTTACCTAGTTGGGTGTTTTCTGTTCCTCTTTGGTTACCATACTTTTTAGCTCTGCATACTTTTTTGACGTAGTAAGATGAGTGAATCTTTTACTTTATACCTCTGCATTTCATGTCTTCCTTGGGACTTCCTTTGTTTCAGATTTTTGAGTGTTTCTAGAGTTTCTGCTGAAGCTCTTTGTGTTTAAGTCTGGGAGTGACGTCGTAGTAAACAGTGTATAGGCATTTACTGAAATGATCATATGAACTTCCCATGTTAATCTGTTCATAAAGTCTAGTCAGGGATTTTTCTAATGGTGAGCCATTCTAGTAATCTTAGGATAAGCCCTGGTTGGCTATGATGTATTATTCTTTTGATAAATGCAGGATTTGATATGCAAATGATTTATTTAGGATTTTTATATCTATTTTTGCAAGTGAGTCTTTTTGTCTTTAAAGACTGCTGTCATTATGTCAGCTTTTCTCTGAGGGCAGTTCTCCCCCTCCTTCTTCATTCTGAAATATTTATATAAATTGAAAAAAAAGGAAAGAAAAGTGGCTCCCACAGTTGGTGGGTTGTAGGGGAAGATCTTGGACCCCTTTCCAATTCATTTTACAGAGATCAGGCTATTTGGCACTTCCATTTATTTTATTACTAATTTTGATAGCGTTTCTTTTCAGGGGAAATCTGTACTGTAGATTTTGGGGTGTTTAAATACAGTTGTTCTCTTTAATGCTTTCCAGTTGTGACTTGGCCCTTTGACATTTCCACTGTTGCCCTGTTGACCAACTCCCCTTTGGGAGCTGTGGTTCTGACCTCATTGATTAATGTGTTCATGTTCGCTAATACCTCTCTGGGTTTTATTTTGGTTTCCTGTTCCTAGCTTCTCAAGGTGAAGGCACAGCTCCGTGGTTCTTTTGTCTCATCCTGCAGTCCGGGGTTAATCCTGTAAGCTTCCCACTGACAGCGAATGGCAGCCCTGTCGCATCACTCAGTATTCTAAATTTTCAACTAAGGAGTGCATTTTAAAAGTTTGTTCTTTTGTCGCTCTTCTTTCATTGCTGATGTTCTCTTAGTTCATTTCTTCATCGTGGTCAGTGGTTAAGGCCTGTGCGGCCTCTGATTACTGAACATTTAAAAATGCTCTTCTGGCCTAATTCATGGTCAGCGTTTGTGTAAAAAGGGTGTATAGTCCCTCTCTTTAAACGCTTTTTATTTTGAAATGTGTATAGGTTGGCAGGAAGTTGTGAAAATAGGCCAGAGAAGTCCTCTGCCCCCTTCATCCCGTTTCTTCCCGTGGTAACATCTGGATAATGATAGTGCAGCGCTGCATGAGGGTTTTATTGCTGTGGAACAAATCCCCACCAACTTGGCTTAAAACCGCACCCACGTGTTAACTCGCACCTCTGTAGTCAGAAGTCTAGCATGGCTGGCGGGGGCTCTGCTCAGGGTCTCAGGTAGCGGAGCGAAGCGTTGGCCATGCTGCGTTCTCCTCCGAGGCTCAAGTCCCTTTTCTTACGAGGTTATGGCAAAGTTCACTTCCCTGCAGTTGCAAGACTGAAGTCCCCTTAGAACTGGGATCCCCATTTCCTTGTGGGATGTCAGCCATGAGCTGCCTCAGTTCCTAGAGGTCCCTCACATGCCTTTTGATATGCAAATGATTTATTTAGGATTTTTGTATTTATTTTTGCAAGTGATATGGGTCTATTTTCACAGGTTTGTCTTTTTGTTTTTAGAGATCTGCTATCATAGTTTTCGCTTCAGTCTTTCATGTGGCC